AAGTTCTGGCTTCCAGATCAGTTGTAAGCAAGTAGTGAAATCTAGTCATATAATATCTAATGTGTTCTCTTGACTTCCGTAGTTGGAAAATGTTAATACTGAAATCTCAAAAAAAATTCCTCAGAAACAGAAATGCAATGCAGAGTTCTGGCATTCACTGATACAATGATGTCAGTGCTGGATGGATCACTCTTGACAGACGTTATTTACTTTGGGCTTCACAATAAAATGGAGTATTCAAAACTTCTGGTATACTACATCCACTTATCTAGTTTCAAGGTCTTTTCCTCAAGCACAAGAAGTTTCATCTATGTCTCAAAAATAATCAGAAATTTATGTGAAAAATGAACACAGGTTAGTGTTTTACAGAAAGCAAGAGGAAAAAGCATAACATATAAGATCTGTTTTGTTTCTGCAGCTTCCCAAATACTTATCCAGCAATGACAACACATATATCAACCAGACCAGTTTCCCATAATGCAAAACACTATAGGTCCATAACTCTTTCTGTACAAATAAACCAAGAAGCCAAGTCAGACCACTGCTGCAGATTCAAATCCAGCCACTAGTGTCACACATCCTGACAGTGCTGAGGAGAGTCATAGGAATGCAAACACTGCTTTTACAGGCTGTTTCTGCAACTGCTCAGGCAGAAGCCACTGAAGTCTTTGAATTAGTTGGTCACCTACCTAATCAGCAGACCATGCATGCATCAGCAGTCTTTGTGATTTCAATTTTTGTGTAAGAACTTGCTTGGGCTTTGCTGCTTTTTCCCCAAGGCACATTCCACAAAGTGAATATGATATTCATGCTGTCACTCCTTTTTCTTTCAGTCTGATTCAGCCAAGCAGGACATACAGGATTCATCTATTCATGTCTCCATTAACAATCTCAGTGGAGCCAGTAACTTTAACACTTGCATCAACATTAGTAACACACAGTCCTTATAGATGTAACTTCTGTGCTAATCACCAAAATGTTATCTTCATGTGGAAAAAAACCCTATCTGATTACAAAGACAAGAGAGAGCTTTTACATGGCCTTTTTGAGTGATAGTGTATCTGTCTGGAGAATGGTTTGAAATCAAAAAGTCTCCTGGCAAATTCTAGATCCTTGATTATAATAAAGGTACAATCTTAGTCCATATGGACTAAGATTTCTGCCTGTGGAATATAGCTGACTGCTGAGAAAAAAAATGGGAAATGAAGACACAGAACTGAGAATTTTAAGTAAAAAGTGAAAAGCAAAGTACATTTCAAGCCGATAACAGCTGACTGGTCAGCTTCAGAAATACAGTTCAAAAGGGAGAGAAGCAAATGCACAGGCAGTGGAAGCAAGGACAGGCAACCTTGGAAAAGCATAGAGATGAAATCAGGTTATGTATGGATGGGGCAAGGAAGGTCAAGAGGAGCTGGAACTGAATTTGTCAAGGCATGCAAAGAATAAAAAAAAAGGCTTCTATACATATTAACAAGGAAAGGAAGGCCAAAGAAGGTGTATCCCCATAAACAATGTAGGAAAACTGAGAACAATGCATGAGGAGGAGGCTGAGGTACTCAACATTTTTACCTCAGTCTTGAATGGTAAACTCTCTTCCTTGGTCTTTTAACTGGACAGACAGCAGGATTGGGACTGGAGCAAAAGTCTGTAAGTAAAGATCAGGTTTACTGTAAGTAAAGATCAGGTTCACAACCACCTGAGGAGCATGAATGTACATAAGTCTGTGAGACCCAATGAATTACATCCCCAGAGACCCAAGGGAATTTGCTGATGTAGTTGCCAAGCAGCACTCTGTGATATTTAAAAAGTCATGACAATCAGGTCAACTCCCAGGTGACTGGAAAAAGGGGAACATTGAGCCCGTCTTTAAAAAGGGTAAAAGAGTTGATAGGTTAAGGAAGATGCTTGGAATTACAAACCTGTCTGACTCACCTCTGTGGCTGGGAAGATCATGGAACAGATCCTTCTATAAGCTGTGTTAGGGCACATGGAGAACAGGGAGGTGGTTTGAGACAGTCAGCATGGCTTCAACAAGGGTCAATCCTTCCTGATCAACCAAGTCTTCTACAGTGAAGTGTTATTTAATATCGTCATCAATAACTAGATTGAATAGTAAATTTGTGGCTGATACCAAAATGAGTGGAGTGGCTGACACATCTAAAAGATGGGATGGCATCCAGAGAGTCCTAGGCAAGATCAAGAAGTGGGCCCATGGGAATGTCATGACATTTAACAGGACTAAGTACAAGGTGCTTGGGTTGAGTCAACCCCTGATATAAAAAGTGGCTGGGGGATGAACAGATCAAGAGCAGCCCTGCCCGGAAGGATGTGGGAGTGTTGGTGGATGAGAGGCTGGACAGGAGCCAGCAATGTTTGCTCTCAGTGAGAAAGCCAAATGTGTCCTGGGATGCATCAAAAGCAGCATGGCCAGCAGGGCAAAGGAGGTGACACTGACCCTCTGCTTTGCTATGGTGAGACCTCACTGGAACACCATACCCAGCTCTGGGGTCCTAAGCACATCAAACTGTTGGAACAAGTCCAGAGAACAGACACCAAGATGATCAAAGGAATGGAACACTTTTCCTATGAGGAAAGACTAAAAGAACTGTGATTTTTTCATCCTGGAAAAGAAAAGGCTTTGGCTGCCCTAATTGTGGCCTTTCAGGACTTGAAGGGAGCCTGCAAGAAAGATGGAGAAAGACTTTTTAAAAATAGCGAGTGGTGATAGGACAAGGGGCTTTCTAACTGAAAGAGTAGGTTTAGATTAGATATTGAGAAGGAATTTTAGAAAGAAATTCTTTACTGTGAGGGTGGTGAGGAACTGGCACAGGTTGCCCAGCGAAGCTGTGGATTCCGCATCCCTGGAAGTGTTCAAGGCCAAGTTGGATGGGGCTTTGAGCAACCTGATCTAGTGAAGTGTGTCCGTGCACAAAGCAGAGAGGTTGAAACTAGATGATCTTTTAAGGTCTCATCCAACCCACGCGATTCTAAGATTCAATGAATATTTTGATAAAAGAACAAACTAGTTTTTCCTTCTTGATTTTCCAAGTTGATGTAGTCAGCTTACCTAGTTAAGTCACATATTTTTAAACCTCTGACTTAATAGATGGACTAATTAGATCCAAGGGGCAAAAGCTTATGTTTATGGCTACAAAGTGTGTGGTGAAGAATATGTGTTACAGTACAAAATATCTTACTGAATTTATCTTCTACACTGTCATATGAATAGTGGTTCTACAGTTAATTGTTTATCTAATATGTAACTGCAAATTCAAAACCTAAATTCAATTGCTGAATTGAAATAAAGAGGAAATGTAATTTTACATTAAGGAACAAGTTTAATTCATCTCTGAATGTGAAGTTGTCATCAATTTATTTATAATTCAGTAAGTGCATATGAACTATTTAAATACCTTTTGATTGCCAACTTATATACATAGCTTTGATTTCAAAGGAACTCTGGTTTTTCCAGTAATAAGAAAGGCAGAAAATATAGTCTGAAAAGTAAACAAGCCTCAGTGGGATCAAAGCATTAACCATTCTCTGTGTCTCTTCAATTACTACTAATCATTTGAGCTGCTGCAGTTCACAGAACAAATCACAGCTCCCTGCTTTGGGAGGCACTGCCTGTATGTTGCAATGTTTAAAAACAGACTTATGCACACAAACACCAAAAGATGTGTCTCAGAAAATAAGACTGTTTTATTATGCCTTCAATGAGCAATTGTCCAAAAGTTCCAAAATGCAATCGAATTTCTTAAAGAAAAATGTGATCCTTTCAATTATGATCTAGAGTAAGAATAAATAATTTTCAACCTTTGGAATGCTGCATTAGGTTGCTGACTATAGAAGTGAAAAAATTGGTCAGGTTTAGCGTAGAATAAACTCTGAATATACAGAACATGAAACAAGCTGCTTTCATTCCGATATCTTTAAAAATTTGGTTAAATCCAAAAACAAATTCAACTTTATTTGGACTCAGATATAACATAACAGACAATTGTGTCAGCTATGTAAAAATGTCAATCTAGGCACCTTAATATTCTTAGCATACGTAACACATATTTTGTTTAGTTGCAGATCAGTATTATGGAAGTAGGAACCAAAGCATTCAGGTTTATCATATATTAAGGTGTACTGTTTTTCTTTGCAGGTTATTCACAAAGCGCAAGAAATCTGGTGCCTGGATCTAAGAATGTTACACTTAAATTGCTTTTTGGAAGTAATATTTTTGTTGTGATATTTTTGAGAAAATATAATTCTTGTTCCAAAGAATAAAGCTGCTTTCAAAATCACTATCCTAATATTTCAGCACAGATAGATTTTTTTTTCTTCCCTAGAAAAACCTTGTTCTACCACAAAGTATATTATTTACTGCAGAATTTAATCTAAAATCATTTTAAATGGAGAAAAGGTTTTCTCCAACATTCTTGCCTTTGAACACTAGTTAAATGGCCAGATTAGCTAGACTAACCAAGTAGGTTCTAAACAGCACTGTTTGGAAACTGTTACTGTGATGGAATTTCATTTCCATAGGTTTGAAAATCAAAATAGCCTATATCATCAGTACATCATTATTTTTTATTTAATTCCTGTCTTTATGTGCTCACATACTAAAAGAACTTCAAGGTCAAAATTTTGTGGAAACATCCTGGGCGATTAGTTCTTACCTCACCATTGGTTGTTACTTCCCAAAAAGGAAGAATTCAAACACCCTTATCATTCAAATATCAATAATTGCTTTTTAATGTTGCTTCTTTACACAGTCGTGCTCAGTGTCATACTTCTGCTGAATGATCTTTTGATGCTGTTTCCTGTTTGATGATGCACAGTCCTTCAGCATCTCTGAGTATACAGAATGGCAGGACTTCTGAGGGCCTCAGTCTCAGCCAGAGACATGGATTCAAAAGCTTAGATTAAATGTCGACTGTTCCTTCAAGCTACTACTCCTGCCAATCCTCCTGCCTGGTATTTATTTTTCTTTTGTGTTTACCCTACAGGGCTCTATGAAAACTATCCAACCAATGCAGAACCAGAATGCTGTGATGTCAGATGGGGACTATTATCAGATCATCAACCCAAAGGGACTATAAAAACAAGTGGCTCAACGATGTGTCACAGGACATCGCTCACAGTTTCATCAGCATCAAGACTGTGTAACAGCAGACTTAAACTGTGTGTTCTTGTATTAATTCTCTTACATACAGTACTTACAGTCTCAGCAGCACAGAACTCAACAGGACTGGGCTTTGGAAGCATAACAACTTTGGAAGATAATTCAGCCAATGAGGAATAAAAGAAAGGATTCATCTTACATGATAGAAACACAACAGGCCCGAATTACTACAGTCAAAAAAAGCAAGGACTGAGTGCTTTACCCTCAGATCTCTTCTTGAATGACCTTTTGGGTAAAATGAAAAGAATGGGCCACTACCCAAACAACAAGGACACACAAACACAGCTTTTTATTGACTAAAAGGCTGTTTGGTGACTTACCTTTCTCACACCATTTTATACACTGTGTTTTAATGTTTGGAGTTTCTTTTTTTTTGTTTGTTTTTTGCACTTGTTAATACAGGATTTTATTTTTGGGACAGTTTCTCAAAGCTAAATTAAGTCTTTTCTCTGTCGATATATTTCTAGTCATTGTGTGTGTTCATCTGATAGTTCTGTCTTTTATGTCTTGTCAGTTTCTATTAGAGGAATGACTGCTATGATTTCATGACATAGCAAAAAAAAACAGGAAAAAAAAATGAAAAAAAAAAGAAAAAACAACAAAAAACCCCAAAAAACCCACAAAAAAACCCCAATAAAAACCCACAAAAAGAACAATAAAATGAAATTTAACCAAAAAAGAGAAAAACAAGAAGAAAAAGAAAAGAAAAAAAAAAAGCAACCACAAAAAGAACCCCAAACAAACCTTACTGTCCTCTTATACATGGGAACCATTCATCTCCTTTCCCTTTCCCATCTCCCGTCACAGACAACATACATTTGCTTCTGTCTGTGTAATCACAATGAATGGGTACACAATTCCAGTGTGCCTCTGCCACTGTTGCACAAAACAGTTGACTGAGCAAACCCAAAAGGAGCATGAAGGGGGTTCCTTTTAGCTGAAAAAAAAAAAACCAAGTGCTCTCCTTACAAGGTGGGATCGGACCGTTAAAAAGTATAAAGAAATATATAACAAACTGTTGCTCCAATACCCGTTTTGAAGAAGTCCAGTCCTTTCTCACTGGTCAGTTGAACAGGAGCAGCCTTTTCTAGATATGTTAAGTAAAACCAGTTATGCTCAGCAAGTTGAATAGTTGGGAAGCCTTCATATTGGAGGTGAAGGATTGACATTCATTGTGAATCATGTTTTGAGTTCTCCTGCTGTCACATAACCAGCAGCTTTCCATAACAAATGGGAGCCAAGACCTTCCAAAATTCAACTCTTTTTGTCACAACAAAATTACGCTAGAAGTCTTTTAACATCAACAATACAAATTATCTCCTTGGTTTGATTGCATTGTTTTTCTATTACCTACATGTTGTTGAAAGTAACTCTAGTTTATTAAGGATGCACAAGAATGTGTTAGCACAGATAAAGAAACTATTTTTTTTTTAATATATAAGACAACCGTTTTCATAAATGTGCAATAAAAACAGTAAATATATACTAGGATATGAGTAGTCAAGAGAAAAGATTGTAATATGATTGCTGGTTTTTCGTTGTTTGGGGTGGTTTTGGATTTGTTTACTTTTATTTTTGTGGGAACATTTCACCTGCTGAGTGTATGAGAATTTGCTTTTTAAAAAGGCTTTTTAGAGTTTACAGTAGAATCAACGGAAGGAAAAGTTAATAAGGGCTGTTTTTAAAAACTTTACATTCCTTCCTATTCTCTAACTACACTTGGGAAGTGCACTTTAGAGATGTTTGCTGTGTAGCTGGGAAATGAAGGAAAACTATAGAAAGTGTTCTCTTAGGAAATAAAATATAGTTACCTACTTTCTAGCTATGAAATACCCCTTGATAAATATTAATGTTGTAAGAACATTTAATCACTGGTGCATAATGCGTTTTTGTATACAATTCACGGTCTGTTAAATTCTGGAGAAAAACAAAAAGAAGATAACCATGCTGCTTAAGCGGTTCAAGATGCACATGTTAAGCTGCGAAGCTCAAATATTTTGCAAGAGTATTTGTTTTAATAGTGTTTTGCTACAACCTGGACTGAGGAGCCTAAAACGATCTTGTGCAAATACGACAACAAAAAAAGCACCAGCTAATGCAAAATTCTTCAGCACTGGTTTGTTTCTATAATTCCTCCCTTCCCTTCCTTGCACATGCTATATTTTGTTCAATAAAACATGGTGCTTTATTATTTATTTTCTTTTCTGTTAGAGGCACATGTATTAATTACAATGAATTGATGCAAAATTGGGGGAAAATGTAGAAATGCAAAAGAAAAAGCCTTAACTAATGGTAGAATGTAGACTTTTGAAGGACAGAAATGTTATTGAAAAGTGATGGAGCAATAACTGGGCAGTGCTCTGGTACTGTACAACAGCTGATGAGTCACACTACTGAGAAAGCTCTTACTAGGTGAGCTCTTGTTCAACTGACCTCTTAATTCTAGTAAGTGTACGTGGTCAGTAAACAGTTTGTTATAACCTTTATCTACCTCTGCTGTGCAAAGGCCATCCAACATCCATTTCTGTGATGTTCCTCATGGTTTTTTGTTCACACCATTACTCACTGTCATCTATTTTTACACCATACCAATACAGTACCTAGTCCAGTTCATCTCTATTGAATTGGCACCTCAAGAAGAGTTTTTATTATTTCTCTTTTTCTTCATGGTGAATTAATGTAGAGCTCTATCCTTAAGGTATTTTATTTCATCTTTTCTGCTCTTCTTCATTCTTCATCACTTATTTTTCTATAAAAATGTTTTCAAGTGGTGTCAGTGAAAAATGACTCCTCCACTGCTTGGCTACACTCAGTCATGTGTCATACAATATGAGAGAGACAGGAGGAAAAACAGTGACAACAACATCACATGCGTAATGTAGCCTAATTAAACTTGGGGAAAATGAAGCAGAAAACAATTACAGACTTTCAATTACAAGTACAAGATGTAATAAATCCACCCCTCTCTCCCTACCTGGAGTTAGTGCCTGCAGTTCAATGGTCTGTGAATTTTCTCTGTCATCTTTTTGAGGTCTATTTCTTTAATTTCTGAAACAAAGAGTCATGTTGCAGTTGAATACTGCTGGGGTATCTGTTGCCATTTTCACTCTAGCAGTGTGGTAAGCAGCTTCTCTTGGTGGTACCTGGGACATCAGGAGTAGACAAAGACTCTTCTATGAAGTTAAGCAACATGTAATCATGTATGATGCAAAATTCCATCCCATCCATTCTTCATTCGTAATAGTTTTCCTGGCACAAACTTAAGCATGCTTGATATTGTGCGCATATTACTTTTTTTCAGAATAAATTTGCATCTTGCCACTGCTATAACTGCCATCTTGTTCCATTTCTCCTTGTACTGTATGCCTAATACATACATGATAAAGAGCTGGCTTAACAAAGAAGTAATACTAAAATCTTTCTGCAAATGACTGATGAGAAGAAAAAGAAAAAAAGAATATTTATTTTATGATCATATGGAAAAAATTAATTTCCCATGTCTTTTTATCGTCTTATTTTCTGCAATAGGGAAAATGCAGATTTTGTGCAATATGTTAATACTGCTAAGCCAAATGTCATATAACATAACCAGAGCTATGTTATTCCTTATTGCATTTGCATTCAGTAATACAGTATATTGATGCTTTTCTTTCATTAAAGAGACAGTATCTTTTTTCTTTTTTTTTTTTTTTTTAATATAGAAGGTGAAGGCTGTCCTTCTGCACACCATAATTTTAAGACAAAAAACCAACAAAATGCTAGAGTGAAGTTTTAGTTATATAAATGATGAAACCAAGCCATCAGCTGCCAAAGAATCTGTGGAACAATAGTTACAGACCAAACAAAGATATTTCTTCTTGAGGGTTAAAAATAATTTTATTCTGCAAGATTAAAGAAGAAAGAATAAAAGAATAAGAGCTGTACATCAAACAGCAGAGACAGCAGGTGTCATTAGGTACACGTTGTGACTCTCAGCTTATATAGTCATACTCCTCTATTAAAGAGTGAGAGACAAAGTATTGTCTTCTGCTCTCTCTGTATTTGTTATGATAATGAATGTCCTTTTTGTAAGCGTTGCCTCTCTGCACAGAAGATACCTGCCTATCATGAGGGCTGAAGATAGTACATGCGCACAAATTTGCGCAGGGAAACCTGTCTTGAGTGACTATTCAAAGCACAAGCAAAACTCATTTGTGGAGTGGACCTAGTTTTTAGGAAATTTCAAGACACATGTGAAGAGTCACCTAAGCAAGGGGTCTGTGAAGGTGCCTGGTTCTTACTGCAGCTTTGTCAGTATGTCCCATCTGTGTCACAGCCCCATGATAAGCCCTGCCCAGGCAGGCTTCAAGCTGAGCTCAGAGTCATGCTGACTTCAGTGAGCTTTGATACATGGAGAGGCATGCACCCATAAAAAATTCATGGTAGCACATATGTCTCAATTTGCTGTCCCATAATCTTTACTCAGGAATTGCTCATGGGCAGAGTGCATAAGCAGAAGATCGCTGGGTTCACCCCTACCCAAGTCTTGACAAGAGATTGGCAAAAGCGCATTAATGGTAAATGCTTTATTTTACTACTATTGTCTGCTCATATTAGTTTGGTGAAGGAGTGGTTTCAAAATTTAACTACAAGCATGGAGGACAAACTACCAGAAACTTTGTCGTGGAGAAGAAATTAAATAGCCTTTGTTAGGTAAAAAGAGATATGCCATCTTTCAGCAGCTGTCAGCAGTCTTTTAGAAAAGCTTGGGAAAATAATATGTCCAGTTCTGAATATGATAATTCTCATTAAACTAAATGTTTTGATGAGAAATAGGACTGGAACACAAACGATCTCAACTGAGGGATATAATTTGCCAATATTTCCTACAGCAACTGTGAGAAATTACATTACTGAACACCTCTAGGTGTTAATACTTTACAGCATTTTTTCAAATGTTAGCAAGTATGAGGTCTCCCTGGAAGGAAAAGAAGGGAGAGAGAACTGTCATTCTGGGGGAAAAAAAAAGAAAGGCTTGGCCCACTTGGAAAATCCATCTGAGAAACAGTTATAATTCTTCAAAATACAACTGAAATTTTAAAAAAAAACAAAAAAAAACCAAAAAAAAAAACATATGTAGGTGTAGATCTTTATAGAAATAGACCTATTTCAAAAAAGAGAGACAAAAAATACATGTTCTCTATTATTATTACAAATACAGCATACTGTAGAACAAAAATGCCAAAGGATAAGACCTATAAAAAAATAGAGCAAAATTGCTGTATTTATATTCCTTACTATGGAGTGTGAATTTCCAGGTAGAATTTCAGCTGTAGAAATAGATTTTATAATAAAAAAGTAAATAATTTGGGCAAAAGGGACATGTTTGGTTATTCTTTCCACCATACTGACTCCTATGCGTTCAGTTATTTTTCTG